TCTGAAATCTGAATCAGTCAGACTGTTTGTTTTTACGTCTGAAGTCTGAAATCTGAATCAATAAGACTGTTTGTTTTTGTAAACTGACAAACTTCTGAAGTCTGAAATCTGAATCAATTCATTTCAATTAAATTTAACTGAAATATCCAATCATTTAAAAAACAAACGATCTGAAAGTCTATATGTCTGACCGATTCAGACATAAGAGGAAATTAAGAGGAAAATTTTAAAAAACAAATAAGCCCTCAGATTTGTTACTGTCTTTGGTGTTATGATTGTGACAGTAGCTATGTTGTTCATTATCAGGCTTGGTTTTGTCATTTGACCGATCTTCTCATCAATAAAGGAGTAAAAAGTGAATTTTGTGTGTTTGTATTCATCTCCTTTCTACAAACTATTACCTTTAAACTATTGTAGATCCGTCTGGGAGTGCAATTGCTATCACTACTAATCCTGTTCAACACTCCAACTCAAATCATATTGATATAAGATATCATTCCATAAAAAATCATGTTAAAAAAGGTACAATATAAATATACTTTGTACAAACAGACTTCCAACTTTCAGACCTATTTACTAAACCTTTAGATGAGAAAATGTTTAATTTTTTAGTAAGTTGCGTATGTTAAATTTAACTACTTAAAAATATTTGTTGAATTTCAAGAGTTAAATATTCAGATTTTTGAGTTTTATATTAATTCTACTAAGTATCGTACTCTCAATAAAGCATTTAGAGTTGCAAAACATTCTGCTAAGCACCAAACTCTGAATAATTTCTTCAGACTTCTGGATTTTAGTCTTCAGAGTTGATGAAATTTCTATCTTTTAACTCTGAATAAGTGATTCAGAATTTTGTAACAATCTTTTCGACGTTATTCCATTTCGGCAGCCTTCTGGCCGTTTGCTTGCCGTCAATTCTTTTGGTTCTTGGGTTTGGAGGGATAAGGATGATTTCTTTATGTTGGCAACTGTTATGCTCCTGTTCCAGCAGTCATGTGCATCTGTTGTTTTTACAATCATTTGGTTCAAAGGAGTAATAAAGTTGGATTTGGAATTATATTTGGAAACTGCTAGGCATAATTATTTTGGGGAACCAGATACCTATTAATAGTGACCATAATTAATCCAATGCATAAGTTAACCGGGTCGTAGAAGCAAAGACATTACTTTTGAATAACATACCCATCACTTGACTTTCCCTTCTCTGATAAGCTTCAGGATACAACTTCAATAGCATAAAGCGAAGCAACCAACATCTACTAGGAAAATGATTATACGCTTGTTGACAAATAGGCCAGCGAGATTCCTACCAAGTGTCCATAGCTTCGAAGACACCAAAAACATGAAATATGGCTGCATGCTGTAAATCATAGACAAAAGAATCTAAAACATCGACATACAAGTAACAACCAACCTTTGGCTTTTGCAATCCCTTCTTACACAATGCAACTATCTTGTAGATGAGATCCCTACAAAATAAAAGGATTATGCACACACACAATTTCAAAAGTGAAGTAAGATAATAGAAAATATAATTCAATCACCTACTCATATTCGACCTTGCTCACCACCTCCCAACAATCACATACCACATAGCTAAATATAAATATACAAGCTGAATTTGAAATTTGACATTGTGTTGGTCTGTTAGAGCTTTCTGAAGATTGTTGTTGTTTTGGACTTGAATCCAATTAAAGGGGGAGATTGTTGGAACAAAATGTTGTATTCAAATTCCGGTGCTAAAAATGTTTTATAATGCTTTGTATTGTAGTTTCCTTTTATAGAAGGTTAGTTGTCTTTCTATTTTGGGGTTGCTATAAATAGCAATTTTTCTGTTTTGTTAGTTAGAACTTGATAGATTCATTCGTACACTTTGATAGATTGAGTGAGATCATTGTAATCAAGAACTGGTACTCCAAAGTTTATCAATACAAGCATGCCGACATATTTATTTCCTATTATTGTTCTTGATCTTTGATTAGTTTGATTGAATTAGACTTGATAATCTGGGATCACGACATCTGACAAGTAAGTCACGACCAGTATAAAACACGATTCAGATAAATGGGTGATCAATTAAGACTGTCATATCAACTGAGGTCGTGTTTGTGACTAAATGACCCATACTCGACTAAACATTATATGAGATCTCTTCTTTTCAGTGTTTTCAAAAATATTTTTGTAAAAGTTGTGACTTTTATTATAAAGCATGCATATATGCCATATATATATATGTATATGTATATATATATATATATATATAGAAAGAGAGAGAGAGAGAGGGGGGGGGGGCGATCAAATGCAAATCACCCAATTCGTATAAACCGTGCAAACCACCCTCATCCGTCGATTTAATTGTTTAATCTTATGAGATTTTTTCATGAAATTGTTTAATCTTGTGAAAGTGTTTCATATAATATATTTTTTTTGATGAAGTTGTTTCATATAATATTTAATGAAATTTTAATGAAACTGTTTCATGTATTTCTCTAAAATTAAAATAATGAAGATGATAATACTCATGATTAACACCCTTCACAATAAAAATGATTAATCAACCTCTCATAACTACAAAAAAAAATGAACAAAATAAAAAATTATGATTGATTGAATGAGATTTGTACGGTTTATACAAATAACGTTGTTTGCAAAGTAAACCTCCTATATATATATATAGAGGTTGGTTATTATACAACCTTTGTCATTTGTGCAACCAATACAACCCAATCTCAACCGTCCATTTCATTTGATTAATATGTGATTTTATAGAGGTTTTGATTATTTCCTAATATAAAGTATTAATCATAATTAATGAACCGTATTCATATTCCATAAATATTTAAATCATAATAAATGAACTCTAATCATTTCCATAAATATTTTAGTTTATTGGGTTGCATTGGTTGTACAAATGCAATAGGTTGTATTTGAAATAAACCCTATATATATATATATATATATATATATATTGTATGAGTTATTATGGAACCCTTTACATTTCTACAACCAATACAACTCAATCTTAACCATCCATTTAATTTGATTAATATGTGATTTCATAAAAGTTTTAATTGTTTCCTAACATAAAGTATTGATCATAACTAATAAGTCATAGTTATCTTCCATAAATATTTAAATTATAATAAATGAACTCTCATAATTTCCGTAAATATATTAATTGATTGAGTTACATTGGTTGTACAAATGTGATGAGTTGCATTTGAAACGTCCCCTCTCTCTCTTTCTCTCTCTCTCTCTCTCTCTATATATATATATATGCATGTGTGTGTATATATATGTCAAAATATGATTTTATTCACACAAACCACAAACTCAGTGAGCTTTATAAGCTGACTGTAGTATGCATCTCAAGGCCAAGTAGTTGGAGGTTGGATAAGAGCAAAGGACATGATTAGATTTAGTCTTTTGTCTAGACAGTTATGTGTAGATCTTTTGTAACTTAAACTGGTATGAAGCGGGTTAGAACCTTAGTTAATTTTTGGTTGATTCAAAGACTCCGGTTATAAACGGTTTAAACGATTTTAATTTAGCTGTCTTTTTTGGAGCATTTATTTAGGAATTCGTTTTAAATTATATAACGTTTCTTAAAAAAAATGAGAACTCACATCTCTCACAAAATGCGGATTCTCAAATCCCCTATAATATTAAAAAATTTGGATTTACATAATCAAATATAAATTTTAAAAAGCATCTACATTAAATATTAATTTTGAATAAGTATTATATATAATATAAATAAAAATATAGTTGATTAACTTTACATATCTTAGTTAACTAGAAGAGTACTCGCGCAATGCAGCGAGATACATCGTGTTTTTAATATTTCATTTTATTCTTTATCTCAGTCGATGTTATAATATGACTTTATGTGATTTTGAGAAAGCGATGATGTTTTTATTTTTGAATA